ACCAGGACTAAACAAGACCAAAACAAGGACTAAACAAGGACTGAACCAGGATTAAAACAGGACTGAACAAGGACTAAACAAGGACTAAAAAAGGACTAAACCAGGACTAAACAAGACCAAAACAAGGACTAAACCAGGACTGAACTAGGACTAAACCAGGACTAAACAAGGACTAAACAAGGACTAAACAAGGACTGAACGACTGAACCAGGACTAAACAAGACCAAAACCAGGACTAAACCAGAACTAAACAAGGACTAAACAAAACCAAAACCAGGACTAAACCAGGACTAAACAAGACCAAAACCAGGACTAAACCAGAACTAAACCAGGACTAAAGAAAAGACTAAACAAGAACTAAACAAGGACTAAATAAAACCAAAACAAGGACTGAACAAGGACTAAACCAGGACTAAACCAGGACTAAATCAGGACATAAACCAGGAATAAACCAAGACTGAACAAGTACTAAACCAGGATTAAAACAGGACTAGACCAGGACTAAACCCGGACAAAACAAGGACTGAATTACAACTAAACTAGGACTAAACCAGGACTAAACCAGGACTAAACCAGGACTGAACAAGCTTTAAGTCATGTTATAATGTTGTTACCTCATTAGAAACAGATCTGGAGTTGTGTTTTGTTTCATTCACACACGTTTGGCTGAGACCAGAACTAAACCAGAACTAGACCAGAACTAGACCAGGACTAAATCAGGACTCTACAAAACCTGGACTACACAGAGCAGCCACGTTTGGGGGTAGAACTAAACCGAGACTCCACTTTTCCTCGACTGACAGCGGATTCAAAAAGCATCTACAGCATCCACTCACAAACCCAGAAGCTGTTGGTTCTCCCGCTCTGACTGTTGTTGTGTCCTTGAGCAAGACACTCCACCCGCCTCATCTGTGTGAAAGTATCTGAAGGGTTTTAGGCGAAAGATTACGACATGAAATCGAGCGTTTTGACCGACTAAAACCGCTCTTAAAAAGGTGCACTTTGTAACTTATTATTGTTTTAAAGGCCTGGAATTTTTCTTCTTTTCGATTTCTATTTTCTGTTTCCATGGAGACAAGCGCAAAGTCAGTTTACGGGTACGATCTGTGGACAGGTGAGCCCGCTTACAGTAGAATACATATTTTTCAAGGTATTGGTTCACGGTAGAAGAAAAAAAAAAAGTATAGTAAAAAAGAAGGACCAAGGATGTAACGATAACCAAAATATCGTGATATCGTATCGTCAAAAGTCTCGCAATAATATCGTGGATCGTCACAATATATCGAATTACAAGTTCCTTTGCTTAAATGCAGTGTTTTATAGCAGCAACAGTTAAAAAATATATAAGAAAGTACATTTCCCATGATTCATTTCAGCGCAAACGACATAAAGAAATGTTTTTTACTTTAATTCTTAGGATTATAACGGAAATAAATCACACCAAAATCTTGTCAATTTATTTTAAAAGCAAAAAATTGTCCTACCTACAATTAAATCAGCCTCTTCAAGATAAATATCGGAATAAATATCGTACCGTGAGATGCGTATCGTGATAATATCGTACCGTTTGATTTGGATATCGTTACATCCCCACTGTCTGCAATTATCTTACCCACTCCAAAATATCGCAGTAATTATCGTATCGTGAAATAAATATTGTGGTAATATCGTCTGTGAGATTTTGATATCGTTACATTCATAGTAAATACATAATAAGTGAGATCAGTGTTGGGAAGTTTACTTTTAAAATGTAATCCCCTACAGATTACAGATTACATACACCAAAATGTAGTTTGTAACATAATCCATTAAATTACTTAAAGTGAGTAATGTAATCTGAATACTTTGGATTACTTGATTTGCTGTAGAGAAGCAAAGACGAGGAAATCGTAACATAAGATGTTTTGTCTGTTAAAAGAAAATAAAAAGTCCAGACTTTACTGAACCAAATTAAAAATTTTATTGATAGAAGAAGAGGAGACACGTCCACACAGCAGGATTTAGTCCTGTTAAATCCTGTTTTAGACCTGGTTTAGACCTGGTTTAGACCTGGTTTAGACCTGGATTAGATCTGGTTTAGACCTGGTTTAGACCTGGTTTAGATCTAGTTTAGATCTAGTTTAGACCTGGTTTTAGACCTGGTTTAGACCTGGTTTAGACCTGGTTTAGACCTGATTTTAGACCTGGTTTAGACCTGGTTTAGATCTAGTTTTAGACCTGGTTTTAGACCTGGTTTAGACCTGGTTTAGACCTGGTTTAGACCTGGTTTAGACCTGGTTTAGATCTAGTTTAGATCTAGTTTAGACCTGGTTTTAGACCTGGTTTAGACCTGGTACATGTAATCTGTTACTCCCCAACACTGAGCGCGATTAATGCCATACGGTGGTACATTCCAGGGAATCTCCCTAAAATATCTCCGTGGACACAACCTGGTGCTGGATTCATGCCAGGAAAAGTTACAAGTCGGGATGTAATATATATATATATATATATATATATATATATATATATATATATATATATATATATATATATCTTGCAATCATTGTGAAAAGTTCTTTGTATTCTTGCATTAGATGTTCACTATAAAACAACATTACCTGGCAACACAAATTCCCCGCAGGTCTAAAGATGTATTGTGTAACTTTTCTAGTAGCCGGGCTGGTGTTATCTAGTGTCTCCACTCAATTTCATTTCTCTCCAGCGACTAGTTGAGGAATCAGAAAACACTACACACGGTTTGTAAGAACCCCGGAAGTTGTAGACCGCACACCGGCCAATCAGAGAAGAGCCGTGACGCCGGAAATTACTTGGACGTCACTGGTGTCACTGGTGGTTGCGGCGCATTACATATGTTACAACTAAATAGCAGCGATTGGTTAATTTAAAAAAGTACCCGCCTACTGTCGAGTGAATGAAATCTAATGCTGCGAGGTCAGACGGTTTCCACGAAGTGAAACCAGCTGATGAATCAGGCTACTTTTCTGCTGGAGGATCCGTCAAATACTTTTCTCCATGGAGATGTTATTACTTCGTCTGGAATGTTTCACAGTATGGCATTAAACCTTTCTATCCTCACGGAAACCAAACCAGGCCAACCTCGCTCACGGTGAGAACTTTTGAGTCTAAAACCACCTGTATTTGAATAAATGTTCGGTGGATCTGTTTAAAGTCACACTGTGGAACATTCCAAGCAGAGTACAGTCAGTGTTGGGAACGTGACTTTTAAAATGTAATCCCCTACAGATTACAGATTACATACACCAAAATGTAGTTTGTAACGTAATCCATTAAATTACTTAAAGTGAGTAATGTAATCTGAATACTTTGGATTACTTGATTTGCTGTAGAGAAGCAAAGACGAGGAAATCGTAATATCGTGTTTTGTCTGATAAAAGAAAATGAAAAGACCGAGTCTTTACTGAACCAAATTAAAAATATTATTGATAGAAGAAGAGGAGACGCAGTCCACGCAGTATGGTTTAGTCCTGTTAAATCCTGTTTGAGACATAGTTTTGACCTGGTTTTAGACCTGGTTTAGTCTTGGTTTAGTCTTGGTTTAGTCCTGGTTTAGACCTGGTTTAGTCTTGGTTTAGTCCTGGTTTAGATCTGCTTTAGACCTGGTTTTAGACCTGGTTTAGTCTTGGTTTAGTCCTGGTTTAGTCTTGGTTTAGTCCTGGTTTAGACCTGGTTTAGACCTGGTTTTAGACCTGGTTTGGACCTGGTTTAGACCTGGTTTTAGTCCTGGTTTAGTCCTGGTTTAGTCTTGGTTTAGTCTTGGTTTAGTCCTGGTTTTGTCCTGGTTTAGTCTTGGTTTAGTCTTGGTTTAGTCTTGGTTTAGTCTTGGTTTAGGGGTTTGTTTAGTCTTTGGTTTGGTCTTGGTTTAGTCTTGGTTTAGTCTTGGTTTAGTCCTGGTTTGGACCTGGTTTAGACCTGGTTTAGTCCTGGGTTTAGACCTGGGTGTTAGACCTGGTTTAGTCCTGGTTTGGACCTGGTCTAGACCTGGTTTAGTCCTGGTTTAGTGTTCGGCAATGAGTGGAATTACCGAAAAGGAAAAAAAACAAAAAAAAAAGTGAAAACAGGAAAATCCCTCTGTGTAATCCATTTACTTCAACAAAGTAACTGTAATCCAATTACCACTCACTGAAACAGTAACTGTAACTGAATACATTTACTCATAATTTGTACTCTGATTACATAACTCCGGTACATGTAATCTGTTACTCCCCAACACTGAGTACAGCAGGTGACGGACCCCAGCCAAAAAGTTACACAGTTCACCTTTAAATAAAGTTCTTAAATGTGTAATTAAGTGTGTAACTTTAACTGATGTTTTATTGATATGTTCACGTAGCTTTCATGATAAAAAAATAAGATTGTGACAGAAACGTGACAGAAAATCTTGAAAATAACATTTGACATTTGTAAGTGTGATGTGCAGTTTCATATTCAGCCAGATAAACGCATGTGGACACCAAAAACAGCCAAACAAACGAGCCAAACAAACGCTACATCCACCGCAGCCACGATCCCCGCGTCAAAACGCTTCTCGCTTCACGTTTACGTCCGTCTCCCGCTATTCCCGCGACCATGTGCTCCGAGCTCCATCCCCAAACAAGCCGCCTGCCCCTTCCCCTGCACCTCGAGCGGGCAGAGGCACCCCGCGCCGCGCCGCGACTCATCCCGCCCGCCCGTCGCCCCTCTCTCCTCCGCGCGTGCACAAATCAACGCAAACATCTGCTGCTCCCGGCCGAACGCACTTAACCTGCGTAAAAAAAAAAAAAAAAAAAACGATCCACGCACAATGGAGCACAGCCTCGTAGTAAATTAACATCCTGTACGAACCCGATGCGCGATCCTCCAATCAACCAAAGTGTGAAATCCGTGCGTAAAACCCGGATAAATCACAACTTAAGTGCCGTAAAATCACGCGCACGACATGCCTTCCTTTATGCTCCACGCGGGTTCGTTTCGGTAAGTTTTTTTGGACGCGTACTTACCGGTTTTCTTACGCGTAGAAAGTCCCCTCCGTGCGTCGCGCTGGTTTAAGCTCAAGTTATTCCTCTTTACGAGCACCGAAGCGGGCGCAGGGTGAGTGAATGGAGCGAAGGGGAGCGAGCGAAGCAAGTTGGAGTGTCAAATTACATCGGCGATTCTATTACCGAAGGGGACGCGCGGCTCTCGCTGGTGACTGTGGCGGCTGCTGCGCTTGTGCTGCGAGGTTCGTGGCAAAACGCGAAGCGGATTTTTGCTCGGCTCCAGCGGGAGGAAGGAGCCATGATGGGGACTGAGAGAGAGAGAGAAAGAGAGAAAGAGAGAAAGAGATGAGGGGGGGAGAGAGGAGGGACAGACGCAGAGCCCGGAGTGGAGTCAAAAGGAAGGAGATAGACGCTGGGGAGGGCAGGTCTACCGCATTGTGGGGAGATTTTTTTTTTAAATTCTCTCTAATTCACGTAATGTACATCGTATTTATAACATTACAGGGTAAAAATAATAAAATACAGAACAAAAGAGGGTTTTTACACATTTTCTACTTTGACTTCTTTTGTGTGTTTTGAAATATTGTTTGATTCCTATTTAAAAATCTCGTACTCTTAGTTTAGTTTTCTTCCATTTACATTTATATTTGTTTGTTTATTATAGTATTTTCCTATTAAAATGAGATTAATTATGCATTTCAAGTCATATTTATAACATTATAAGACATAAACAATAAAATACATGACAAAAGACAAAATGTTGGGGGGTTTGGTCCTTTTTACTTTGATTTCTTTTGATTGTTTTGAAAAATTCTCATATTCTTGGTTTAGTTTTTGTCCATTTACACTTATATTTACTTATTTATTAGATTAATTGTGCATTTCAAGTCATATCTGAACAAAAAAATAAGATATAGGGGTTTTTAGACATTTTTTGACTTTGACTTCCTTTGAAAGTTTTGAAATATTGTTTGATTTCTCTTTAAAAAATTCTTGTATTCTTGGTTTAGTTTTAGTCAATTGACACTTATATTAAAATATTTTTGTAGAAGAATTAAATAAATGATGCATTTCAAGTCATATTTAATAACATTACAAGACATAAACAATAAAATACACAACAAAAGAAAAGATGTAGGCAGATTTCTAATTTAAAAAAACTTCTCGGTTTAGTTTTTCGTCTGTTTACACTTATATTTACTTATTTATTAGATTAATTGTGCATCCATACATCCATCCATACATTTTCTTCCGCTTATCCGGTGTGAGGTCGTGGGGGCAGCACTCCCAGACTTCCTTCACCCCAGACACGTCCTCCAGCTCCTCCAGTGGGACCCGGAGGCGTTCCCAGGCCAGTCCAGAGACATAGTCCCTCCAGCGTGTCCTGGGTCTTCCCCGGGGCCTCCTCCTGTTGGGACATGCCCGGAACACCTCCCGAGGAAGGCGTCCAGGAGGCATCCGGAACAGATGCCCGAGCCTCAGCTGCTCCTCTCGACGTGGAGGAGCAGCGGCTCTACTCCAAGCTCCTCCCGTGTGATTGAACTCCTCACCCTGTCTCCAAGGGAGCGCCCAGCCACCCTGCGTAGATTGAGCGGTAATTATGCATTTCAAGTCATATTTATAACATTACAAGACATAAACTATAAAATACACAACAAAAGAGGGTTTTTAGACCTTTTTTGCTTTGATTTCCTTTGAGGTTTTTTGAAATATTGTTTGATTTCTATTAAAAAATTTCATATTCTTGGTTTAGTTTTCATCCATTTACACTTATATAAAGATATTTTCCTATTAGAATGAGTTTATTTATGCATTTCAAGTCATATTTATAACATTACTAGACATAAACAGTTAAATACACAACAAACAATAAGATGTAGGTGAATTTCTAATTTAACAATCTCATATTCTTGATTTAGTTTTTGTCAATTTACACTTATATTAAGATATTTCTTTAGCAGAATTAGTTAAATTGTGCATTTCAAGTGATATTTACAACATTACAAGACATAAACAATAAAATACAGAACAAAAAATAAGATGTAGAGGTGTTTTAGACCTTTTTTTTTTACTTTCATTGAAATTTTGTTTGATTTCTATTAAAAATTCTCGTATTCTTGGTTTAGTTTTCGTCCGTTTATACTTATATTTACTTGTTTATTATAATATTTTCCCATTAGAATGAGATTAATTGTGCATTTCAAGTCGTGGCTGGTGTCTTTGTCACAGAAAAAGGAGACATCTGTGGATCCTCTGCTGGAGAGGAGGGCAGGTCTTACCGCATTGTGTGGACAGATCATTGTGCGCGCGGCTTTACGACACGAGCGGTGCGAGTGTGCGTGTGTGTGTGTGTGTGTGTGTGTGTGTGTGCGTGCGTGTGAGTGTGAGCGTGTGCGAGTGTGCGTGAGAGGAAGTGGCCATTACTCACGCGCCCCCTCCGTGCGTGCGCAGGGACATATGGAGCTCCGTGTCGGTTCTTTAGAGCAGAGCGCAGACTAATGAAAGAGAAAAAAACATATGAATGAATCAATGCAATTTCATGAAACAGGTGCATAAATAAATAAAGTCAGAACAAATATCCGCGTGCAAAAATCACGGTTCGGTACCTCGGTTTTAAGGTCAAAGTTCGATTCATTTTTGGTTCAGTTTGGGAACAAAATGCAAAACCACCAACAATTTGTTTTAACATTACACAAACTGGAAAATAAAATAAATGTAAAGTGCTGCTTGGTAATACTAATATTTATTTGTGCAAAAATATTGAAATATCGATATATCGTATAGTTTAATGTGATGATACAGTATGGATATCGTGGACTGCTGTATCGATAAATCACCATGAGTATTTTTTGGTATATTTTACTAAATTATTTTGTATAAGAGCTACAGAAGTGTTGACATTTTCACTATTTTGATGAGTAAAATTGGTGTTTTTCAAATTAACTTCACACAAACTTCGCAGACTTTGTAATCTTTTAGTTTTACAGCCATGAGTTAGCCTTTTTTTTACACTGAACCATATCGAATCAATGTTATATATATTGTAAGGAATCGTAACGAATCGAAAGCTCACTGTATCGAAAAGCGTATCGTATTGTGGCCTTTGTATCGAGGTATGTATCGTATCGACAACTTCTTAATGATACCCAGCCCTACTAATACCGTATTTTCCGGGCTATTAGTCGCTCTGGATTATAAGACGCACTGTCATTAAATGGTCTATTTTTGAACTTTTTTCACAAATAAACCACACTGGACTTTAAAGGAAACACAACAGTGTGATGGGTGAGTGGTTTTGTTTGTTTGTTCGTTCACGGTGACTCTGGGCTTTGTTCAGTTGTGGCGTGTAGGGAGGTGCTGTCTGGGATCGCTGGATTGTCGGCGTGTTCGCAGTGACTCAGTTGTTCAGTCGTGTCTAGAAGCGGCACATTGCGCTCGCTTTTTCGGTTCGTTCCTCCGTTCCGTTCCTCGTCGGCGTGGAGTGATGAGTGTGTCTGTGGGTGTGTTTTCGCTGTGCGGTCGCTGTCTGCTCCGTGTGTGTTTGTGTGTTCTGCGGGTGGTGCGGCTTTGTAGTTTACTGAAGTCGTGATGAGACACTCGAGTGGATTCGTGTATGGGGCGCTCTGGATTGTGGGGCGCAGTTGTTTTTTGATGCGGTTGGAGGCTTAAAGGTTGTATGGAGGATTTTTTTTGTTTCAAATTGTCATTAAAAGTTTAAAATACCATTACAGAGACGCAGCAGCCTTTTAATTATGATGACCGAAAAAAAAAAGAAAGAATGAAAATCTATCAGTTGACGTAGTGAGGCCAGATAACATCAGCCAATAGAAAACGAGGCTCCCTCTTTTCTATTGGCTGTTAGGTTGTCAGTCAAACTCTCTACATTTTTAGTGTAACTGAATCGTCGGCGCTCAGGGATTATGTGGTTTATTGCAGCGTTCTTTTGAGGCTTTTTCAAACTGTAGCTTCCTCGCAATTCGCACAAAGTTTGTTGCGATGGCGGACGAGAATCCACGACCAGTTCACTAAAAGAAGTCCGAAGGGTCTAAAAACTGAGCGTCGGTCGCAAAATATTTCTAGACAGGTCACTTCAACAGTATTTGAACAGCACTGGATGTAAACAATGTGATTTCTAGAGTAAAGAGGCGGGAGGAGGAGATGTTCTACTGACGAAGGTGGTGTCACACATGCACAACATTTGAAAAAGGACTGTCGCTGTATTTCGCTTTCCTTAAAAAACCTCTAAAACCTTTAAGAGCCGCCTAATAGCCCAGAAAATATGGTAAGTTAAATAAAATATTCTCAATAAGCAATAAATGTGTGAAATATTATACAAAATTAATTCCTTGTAAACCGTAAACAAAACTTTTCACGAACAGTTCCACCATGAAGTTTTACTCAATCTTCATATTTTTTGGCCAGAAAAACAAACTTGTCCACATCGTCTGCAGTAAGTACAGATCTGCTGCAGTTAAAACGTCCCCAGAGGTTGGAAATATGATTTCAGTAGAGACAGAGGTCACGGGTATGGGGTGGGGGGGGGTATTGGAAGGAAAACTGCGGCGCAACGACCGCAGTTTTACGAGGATTCACGAGGTTCAGAGGGACGTCGTCAAGACGGGGGGCAATTGTTGTCAAGGCGGCCGCTCTAACTATAAAGCGCTGTGCCCCAATCACGAACGAGTTCCCTTCCGACTCTTCCATGTGGCTGTAGCTGTGGCAGAACGTAAACTGTCAGAATAATTTTATTATCCCATATTTGCTAAATACTTGTGTGATATTCTATGCCTATGAGTTAACCATTTATGTACTACAATTCTTTGATTTATAATGTACCAATCACTTGTATTGAAATTGAATAACCTCTGTGGTTTGACAACTGTGTGCAGTGTCCTGTCGCTCTAGTGAACCTCGAGATGATTCCTCACATGAAGCCAACTTCCACTGTCACACATGCAAGAGTTATGATGGTGTCTGACCTAAGGCACCTCCTGATTGTTAATCATGTTTTATGTGTTTGGACTATGCATTAGCTGCACCAGTTTCTTATTATGTCTTTGCTGTTTCCCCTTCCCCTTGAGAATTATCATTCTGTAACTAGGGCCTCCTAATGAAATAAAAAGAGGAGAA